CCTTTTGGCCGTACGTTCACTTTTAGTATGGTTTCCACGCAATCCTTTATAAATGAGACCCCAGATAAGTTACATGGGTTTGCCTTCCCGTCACCTGCCAGAGGGGTCAGGTGCATGATGGGACACAGTCAGGCAAACAGGTGGAGGAGTTTAAGCATCTGGGCGTCTTATTAATGATTGGATAGAGAGAGAGATGGATCAATGAGTTTGTGTAAAATCATTAAAACAGAAACAGGCTACTTTTTGGATATCCACTTACAGGTCAGACCATCCAGAGACTGAGTGTTGTTCTGAGGGTTCCGGTAAATGTTCAGCAGGGCAATCGTCTGAAACGCAAGTTTTATTACTGGATCGTTTAAGACAAGCATTGAGATCAAATATCTGCAGCAAAACATGAAAATCTGAGTTTACCTGGCTAAATGTTGGCTTGTTGTGTAATCTGGAGCAGCGGTCCCCATGTCGGCAGGCACCAATTTTAAAATAAAAAGAGCAATTCACCCTGCAAAAACACACACAAACAATGAATGAAAATGAGCTGAGATAAACAACACAGGTGCATTATTTTATAAAGCACGAGCAGCACTGCAGAATGTTTAAAATAAGTACCTTTAACACAAAGATGAGAAAATTCTGACTTAAGTTTAAATAATAGACGATTTCAAAGACTGCATATCTGCTTAAGCTTTAATTGTTTCTTCTTAGTTTTATCATTCATGTGAGGATATCAATGCTAATAAAAATATAAGTGATTAATAATTCCACAGTCGTACATTAAGGTCAAAACAAAAAACTGGACTGATCTTTGCCTAATGTACTCTCACTCTGTGGAGTCGATAAATGAGACGGGAAGGGCCGCCATGTTTACTTGAAGGAACGGGAATCGCACTATTTAAACGTCGACACACGAAGAAGTGAACCAAGCAGGCGGAGCTTGCACTCGCTCTGTATCGACACTTAAAAGATAAACTCCTCCTTCGTCGTTACTTTAGCCTGATCAGGCACCGGTGCTCCGGTAACGAGCGGACCTAATAGCGAAAAGCGATGGCCGTGTAGCGGTACAAAGAAGTGTGTCAACTGGTTTAACATCAGCTAGTGGTTTGTGTAAACCAAAAAAATCCAGCTGAAATGAGTTTCCCAATGAAACTATAGATAATGGTTCTTAAATATTTTGTCCTCCTCGGTCTTTTACCTTGTAACGCAAAAACACGATAGTTAGCTATTAGCGGTAGCTATTGCTAAAGCCATTGTGTGTGTGTAATGTTTCCGTCTGCAAACACGACTGAGTTCCGCTACTAAAATCAACCTTCGAATGAACTAAACGAGAAAACATCTTTATAGTTCAACTAAGTTAACTAAAGTGACTCACTTATCTTTTTCTGTCCCAAAAATAGATGCGAGGTATTCTGCCATTTTGGCTCGTCTGTGTTCAAACGGGCAGCATCAGTCGGAACACTTCCGGCACATTTATTTTTCATAATAAGAGCCTTATCTCCAGACTCATAAATAAATCAGCCTAGATCATCAGTAAGTGTGACGAACTTCTTATTGTTCCTAAACATAAAAACCTTACATTTTTCTTTGGTATGTTAATTTTTCAAATTATAATTTAAATTTAGATAGTATCTGTCAAACCTGTTAAGACAYCAAAGGACTCAGTACAGTTCATCCAGGGGAAAAAATAAAAGCACAGATGTGTTTGCCACTACACTTTGTAAATGTGCTTATTAAAAAATRACTGTTGTCTTCAGCAGTGATACTGGAACCAACTAGTGTCTGTCACTGTTACTTTACATATTGTAATCTGAAATATTTGGACAGTCATCACAAAAGTGGCAACTTTAACTTTTTACATGCATAAAGACATAATACTATGTACATTTTAAAACAATGATTGGCCATATGATKAACAATGTAAACTGCAATGAAATGCTTTTAAATTCAAAGTATATTTACATACAATTTGAAAGATACAAAACAAGAACATAACTCACTTAGGTATAAATGTATTTGCTCTGTGCAAGTTACAATTATAAGAAATTAGAAAAATATTTAATAAGTGAGAGAAATAAAACCACTAAATATAGTTTATTTGTACCATAAAAAAATCAAGAACTTTGTGATAGTTTGAAAATATGAGCCAATGAATCTGATTAAAACCAACCTTTGATGTTCAAAATAGTTCATGATAAATTAATATGATACATATAGCCACATGAACATACAAATTGAATTAGATGCCTAACTAAAAGACAAATGAACAATATGATCCATAAACACTTCTGTGGATGTCCAGTTCTATACCAGTAAAGATTTAGAAGAAAGTTACTTATTGTAAATAATCAAGTCAAACTAGTGTCTTCCACATCATTTGTGGTTGCCATTACTAAACCCCTTTATGAAACCACACGAATTTCAAAATAAAAAAGCCAGAGGAAAAAATATGTAAATGCACAAAAACTTTTTTTTTTTTACTACAAGACTCATAAAAAGGAACAGAACAAAATCAGATTACCAGAATTTGAATTTAGAGGGAAATTATTTACAAATATTTAACACTGATAACCAATTTTACAACTTTTTAGAGGTAAACTGTTGATATACTTTAATAAAAAGTGTTTGTTGTTGAAAACAGACAACTTTTATTTTTTGCAGATTTGAAGTTTTCAGTATTTCCAGTTAGTCCCCGCCCACTTCTTTGACATTACTGTAGTTAGCCCAAAACTTACAAGAAACAACAACAGTTCGACCGTATGAATACTTGCTGTTTAACAGATTAACTTTCTTGGATCACCTAAAAGTCTGAGCTTTAATAGGTACGGATGTATTAAATATTAGTATATTATAAGGAAATATGTACTAGTCATGTGAGTGGGGTCGTAACTCCCTTCCCGCTATTTTGTAGCTGAGCTAGCAGCTAACGCGGCTATCTGCTAGCGAACGTAACAGGGAAGAGGCCGCCCACCTTTAAGCCAGCACGCACGAATTTATGTGAAAGCTAGGYTATCGGTGTCCGACATAGACAGCTGTTTGTGGTATTTCCTTTGTGCTGGAAAAGAAAAACGGCGTTCAGAAAGTTAGCTGGTTAGCTCAAAAGGTAATTCTGAGCAGGGMGGCTGCCGCTTATCACCATCCAGCAACAAAACACACAGTAGGTATCCATCCCGAGGCGCAAAAACGGCTTTTTAAAGTCTACCCTTACTGAGATGGTTTTAGTTTACGAATAATCGACACATGCTGACCCCGCGGATGGGTCTAGACGCGGTACTTTCTCATCATAACACTGGAGTTGTGCCGATCAGGTCGCTCTCGGAAGTCTTAACGACGCCTGTAAACCTCTTTAGCCAGGATTTCCGGCTCCTTTCCATTTGCCCTATGCTGTTTTGTTTCCGTTTATTCTATTTCCGTTTTAAAAGTTTTCTACGTCCAGAGTTACATTGTGCACTAATAAAAAACGTGTTAAAGTTACAACTAAATGTAGTTTTTTCGGGATATTTTAATGCTAATTTAGCACGCGGTTGTGTAATGCYGTGCCTCGCCCACGCGCTGCTATGTTTTATTTCGAAGCTAACATGTTTGCCAGCTTGTTTTATTTTAGCCACGACGATGGCTGACTGTTTTGGAGTTTTTCGTAATTTACCACAGCACGCAGTTATGACAAAATAAAAGTTATATGGACTTTATTTGTATCAGCCACGGCCTATGGTTTACGCTTTAAACGTAATAGCCTCGCCCTCGAGTTAGCCCCTGTTGGCTGTGAATGAACTGTCCGTGACGGCCAACTAAAAGTCGAGGCTGAGAGGCCTTTTCTTTATTTTATTTCAACATAGAAACATTGCTGCAGTTAGTTAACCTATTGGCTGACTTTAATTTAATTAAGTTGGCATGTAGTTTGAAAGCTAGCTGTCTGCAGCTAATTTCTTAAGTGTGTAATGCATTTTTATGCATATGAAAAAAAAAACTAAATTACAATTTGTTCTGTACACTAACAGAACAAATGACACTGCATATGCTGATATATTTTTTAGAAGATTTTGTGTGTTATATATGGCCATTTACATATGTAGTTGCAGTGGTTTTTATAATTTCAAACACTTTCAAACAAGAAATGTCTTATTGATTGGTTAATTATCAGCTTTTAACAAAATTGTTTTATGTGTACTTGATCTAATGAGGCATTGTGTTGTACAAAAGTGTTATACCACTCGTAATTTCTTAAMATTTTGCCTTCTAAAAGTCAAACTTGCTTGTAATATTTTAGTGGATTTGAATCTTGGCTGCYTTTTTTCCTCTGTAACAGTGTTACAGTTTATACTGTTCACATCTTGCTTCAGACCATGACATGATATTGTACAATTTCTGTTTAAAAAAATAAGGAACAAAAAAGATGTTGAAATGCTTTTCAAAAGCCTAAGCAAAATGTGAAGGAATGAGGGGTGTCTTAAGAATTTTGCACAGAATTGTAGATTTAGGGAATTTAATATAACATTAAATGAGATTGTAAGGGTGCCAAATGGCCTTTTTATAAACAGCAACATCTGACAGCTTCTGTCTTAGTATCAAAGTACACAAAATGTTTTTGTAGCATTCTCTGCTTCAGAATTATGTTCATGATTTGTTGGAATTCGTTTAATCAAAGCTGACTGCCACTTGTGTTTTATAGGTCTCTTTCCAAACAAAATGTCGAAAAGTGAGGCAGAGGAGATGATAGAGATAGAAATCGATGAACGGGAGAAACAGGCATGCCTGGAAGAAGGGTAAGCGAGAAACGAGATAAATACAATAAATAATCTTTGTGCGGAGACTAAACGGTTGTTTAAAATATGTTTAAAGGGTTGAGGAGCAGACGATCACATCRTCTGATCTGATTCAACAAGACATCGACATCAACGAGCCAGTCGGCAACTTGAAGAAGCTTTTGGAGCCTCGCCTCCAAATCTCACTGGATGCCTTTGACATCTGCTTGCAAGATATTCAGGTATGAATCCTAAAAAAAGGAATTCTGATGAGTAGGGTTGGGCAATATTGCCAAAAAAATTAATCAYAGTTAATTGTGGTGTTTATCYGATAACAATTCATATGACAATTAATCCCCTGGAGTCCCTGGACACACATCCTAGTYTTCTGACCCATTTAAATAGTTCTAGTGGGAAAAGAAACACGCTCTCTWAGAATCTCTTCTAATTTGTGTAAAAAGTACAGACTTTAAAGAGTAACTTACCCCAAAATGAACTTTTTTTAGCTGATAAACTGTCTAGAATGTGTCTAAAATGTTTTATAGTACTGTTTCTGAGCTAATTTTGATGTTTTTGTGTGTATTTATTCAAATCTGTAATATTTGGTC